ATCAAACATCACGCCACTGTCGCACGACGAAACAGCCACTGCGCCGCTGATGAGTAGGTTCATATCCTTACACGCTGTACACAGTTCGGCCGGCGCCCTGCGGCCCCAATCTGCAGTGCCCTCCCTGGGCAAGCGGGAACATTCACCTGCTCCCAAGGGTAACGTGGCTCCGCGCTACACATCACTCCAGCTTTTATTTCGGAGTCGCGACAGAGCGTCCGCGTTCCCGTTGTTTACCCCTTTACGGTGGGTGGTAACGCTGCAGCGCCAAAGCCCACCTCGCCAGTTTAGCCCCGTGCGGTGTGCTCGCGGTGAGGTAGGTCAGGGGGTTATGGTCCGACACAACGTTTATCCGCGCCCCAAATAACCAGTAATCGAACTTCTTCAGAGCCCAGATTATGGCAAACTCCTCGTGTTCGATTGTCGACCAGCGCATCTGGGTCGGCGTGAAGCGGTGGCTCGCAAAGGCGATGGGCTTTTCTACGCCGTCCCCTCTCATCTGTGCCAGGCGAGCGCCGGCAGCTGTTGCGGACGCGTCGGTAAAAAGCCAGTAGGGTTGATTCGGTTCGGGCGTGCAGAGGGCCACGGCAGCACAGAGTGCCGACTTTAATTTTTGGAATGCCTCCTCTGCTTCGCTGGGCCACGGTATCGGGTTGGGCACCCCTCGCCTTGTGAGCGCGGTAAGTGGAGTCGCCACCTCGGCAAAGTCGCGTACATACTCCCGATAATACCCCATAAGCCCCAACACGCTCCTCAACTCCTTCTTGGTCCGCGGCGCAGCTAGCCCCTCTATCGCCGCGAGCTTGTCCGGATCGGGTCCGTGGGAACCCGACCCCACTACGTGTCCCAAGTACTTCATATGTGCCTGAGCAACCTGGCACTTCTCATCGTTAGCCTTTAAGCCTGCCTGCTTAAGCAGCTGCAACACCACATCCATGTGCTCGAGATGTCCCTCCCAGGAACTGGAAAATATTGCTTTGTCATCCAGGTAAGCGGAGGCGTACGCCTGGTGCCTGAATAACAGGCGGTTTGTCTAACGTCCCTGGATATTTTTTCGTTTTTACAGGTAGCGACAACTTTCCTCCTTTCCATCTATGATTCCTCTTTCCCCCCAAAATTTTCTCCTCTCCCTCTCTAGCGCCGCCATTCGCTTCCTAACGTCAGACGGGAGGGCGGTTCCGCTGTGTTGTTATGTGGTTAGCAGTAGCATAGTCTTCCTTGTTTTGGTAATCTCCAGCTCGTGAAATTAATTTGGATACCATCGTGTTACTTCGTGAATCGAAGGTAAGCTGTTATTTCCGCAAAAGCACATATATATATCAATATTTTGCCGCAATCCCTATCAGACCGCAGCGAGAGCTTTCGCGAGCAATGCTCTCGGCGATGCTAGATATGTGCGCGCCTGCGTTACAATAAACTATTTATATTTGTAATAAAGACAAATGCCTTGTGAAAATTTCATTCCGTCGTCGATAGAGCCGCATAATTAAGCTATTGTGAGAACTCTATTTTGTTTGCAACCATTCCCCCTCGTGGCGAGCGTTGGTAATGCTACGCAAACGTGTGCGCGGTGTAGACGCAAACGCGTCTGGAACTCATTATTTTGGGGTGTATCTACATGACTTCAACACGCATTTTGTTATAAGTACTAGTAACAGTATTTAGATGGAAAACAAACGTCGTGCAAAGTAGTGACCTTGACGAGTTTGGACGGTGCGAGATCCGAGCGGATGAATTTACAGCACTTAACACACCAGTCCCAAACAATATTTTGGGTGAAGTTACACCATCGCACGCGTTATTCCTTCTATTGCAGAGCCGTGTTTGGTCTCAAATAACTCTGTGAAGGATTCTAGCTGGCGACTTTCGCTGTTTTTGATTGCTGGATAGCATGCCTTCAGTGTGCAGTGAAGAAATGTTGCGTACAAATTTTATTATTTTGCCGCATTAAACGGTGAATCCAAGACCAATTTCATTAGATCGCGTTCAAGGAATTCGTTATGAACGTGTTTAATGTCTGTCTACTTTTTTCTGCCTAGCTTCCACTGTAACATCCATGTAGATATTTTTTTTAGACAAAACCCCCGAGACTGGGGAAGGAAGGACAACACAACACGAAGCATATGCATTGTGCAGACATTTTTGTTTATTTCAGCTCTTGTCGTGCGAATATATATATATCTCAAAAGACAAGTGTTGAAACTCATAAGCAGTGCAGTAAAATATAATTAATGTAATTGGGTTCATGCAAATGCAAAGCACATAAATAGTAAATATGGGAAGAGCCCAACTTTGTTGCAATTTAATTGAACTGCCACATGTTATGATATGTATGCAGTTTGTGTATCCATGGTAGTGAAGATATGAAGAAAGTGTCTTGAATAAGACAACACAGATTTTTTTTATTTTTTTTTATTCAAGATCTTTTTAGGAAGTAATCAATGTTGCAGTCAAACAGGTCATCCCACAGGAGATTAGGAGAATATGCTTAAAATAAAAGATAACACAAAAAGAAATAGCTACTAGGGTGAGCTAGAGGGGGAGGTGTGCTCATTGCCTACTTTGCTCCATTTTAGTGATCCAGGATGGAAGTGTGAAGAAGAGTACCCACAGCATCACTTCCAGCCTACTATGCCGAAGCAGAAAATGAGCGCCATACCCCTCCAGCCCACTCTACCAGCACTCTTACAGTAGAGAAGACGCCATGAATGCTTTTCTTGCATTCGATCAAGTCCTTGTCTTTCTCTTCATATAAGTGTGTCTTCCCTTTCTCCTATTAGCACTTCAAAAAGATAAAGATGTCCATGGTGGTTGTGTTTCCAATTTTGTGAGTGCCGAGATACTGGTTTTCTGTTTATCGGAAAACCAACGACTGTGTCACTGCCAAACAGGGATGGAAACGCTAAATAAAAATTCTCCGAGCGTTGGAATTGAAAACTCCTCCGAAATCAATGACATCTCGCGAGTGCAACGGCCACTGACGCATTCAGCACGAACCCCAGCAGCCATTGCCGATGATAACAAAAGTGCCAACCCAACCGGCGATGACCACCAACCAACTGAACCACCAGCCGACCTGAATGGCGATGATGATGAGAATTTTCATTGACAGAGAAGTGGCTTTTGCGGTGATTATGAGGCAAGCCAACAGGGAGACGACAACACCAGAAAGATGGTTGGCCCTGGTGATCGAGCGAAGTAAAGGAACACATGGATGGATGCCCAATGGTTGGTGGCCAAAAATAACAATCAAGTATAATCGGAAGCATAACCAGAATATAACGTCGACAACGATGAAAAACAAGCATACCCAGTGCGAAAATCAACAACAGCCTACTCAACCGGGCAGTGGTCAGGTGGCCGAAGAAAGAGAATGGCCGTTGCCAGCGACCATAACAAACAGCCAACTGTACACCAATATAAAGAATCTGCTGGCCAGTAACATTGAGCTGGCCCTTAATCACCAAACTGACCGAAAGAGAACAAGAAAGGTATACAGTCAGGAAGTAAACTATCAGGTCATCAGGATCGAGCTGGAAAAGAAGGTGAATATTCTAGCAGAGCTGAATGATTTGATCTGTGCTTGCCAGCTGACATATGAGCTGACAAAAGAAAAATGAACTGGAAGGAGGCCATTAAAATAAAGATAAAGGAGCTTAGTCAACAGCTGCAAATTGTCACCAGTCAAACAGAACAAGGCTCCCTCGAGAGCATTAAAACGAATTTGCAAAGCTAATCAGTATCACTCCAACAAGAAGGACCAGTTGAAGAAGCTTGAGGACCAGATCGAAGAGAAAAGGGCAGTCTTTCACAAACATCCGGTCACTGCGGCAAACCGGATTGAGTATCGGAAAACGAACAAGCTGTTCGAGCGCAATCGGTCTGCCTTCTACCGGAAACTTGACGAAGACCAGAAGGAGATGGGCGAATTATGGGATGTAGCTTTTTTCCCCGGCTTGCTCGTTTCGTCTTCGCAATAAGGTATGTCATGCCCACGTACAGCCGCTCGTCGATCCGTGCGGGGTCATCAACTGCTTTGACTAGCGGTGAGACAGAAGTGGAGTGCAGTCACCTTTTTAATGAAAGAGCTGAATATGGCCGTCGGGCCCTGGTGTCTTCCATATGGTCAGGAACTTGATGACCATTGATCTCGTCAGACCATTGATCAACATCAATGGTCTGACGAGAACATTGATGTTGATCAGGTGATTACTTTTTGGCGAGGAATCTGGGCAACCGATGACGAAGAAGGGGAGCACCAGGAATTGATTGACCTATTGGACCCAGGGGAGCTGCAGATGGAAGCTGAGGAGGAAAGAGTCAAGAGGGTCATCAAGGGGAAGATCAAGTTCCTGACCATATGGAAGACACCAGGGCCCGACGGCCATATTCAGCTCTTTCATTAAAAAGGTGACTGCACTCCACTTTTGTCTCACCGCTAGTCAAAGCAGTTGATGACCCCACACGGATCGACGAGCGGCTGTACATGGGCATGACATACCTTATTGCGAAGACGAAACGAGCAAGCCAGGGAAAAAAGCTACATCCCACACTTTGTCTCCCGAAAACCTAAAAGCTGCTGAGCAATGTTGTCACAGCCCTGGTGACGGACCTGTGCGAGGTGAAAGCGCTGATATCAGCCAACCAGATGGGTACTCGAAGAGGCTGCCAAGGTACCAAATAGCAAGCCGTCCTCAACAAAGTGCTCAACCAAAAGCACAACGAGCTGTTTACGTCCTGGATTGATATCCAGAATGCGTATGATAGCGTGCAACACTACTACCTGGTAGCCATACTGATGAAGTTAAGCATGCCGGAGAACATCATCAGGTTCGTCAAGCGAACGCCGGCCTTCCAACGCACCAGCCTGGTTTGTCGTCAGAGCGAGATTGGCCAAATGAGGATCAACAAAGGACTCCTCCAGGGTGATAGTCTCTCGCCGTTGCTGTTCGTCCTCGCATTAGAACCTTTGAGCCGCCGACAACTGCGAACAATTGCAAATGGGCAACATCAAATGCAACCAATTGATTTTCATGACCAACACAGAAGAGACGCTGACCAGGCTGTGTGGCCTAACCAAAAATATGCTCTGTCAGATGGGACTAAGGGTGAATCAGCAGAAGTCGTGGAGTAACGTCGGGAACAGTGGAGTCTTCGAAGAGATGGTGGACGATCACAGAGGTTACAAGTATCTGGGCATCTTGGAAAATTCTCGAAATGTGGTGAAAGATGTGAACAAGGTCATCGTTACCAACAAGGCCAACGAAAGAACGAGAATGCATTGCAAGACAAAGCTAAAAGCTGCCAATCTAATTAGAGGAATCAACGAATTTGCCCTCTTGACACTCAATTACTATATAGGTCCCATGCCCTTCAAGCCGAAAAAATACGAAACGATTAACAAGGAGGTGAGGAAAATCCTGAGCGAGTACAAGGCGACAACGAATGCAGCGAGGATGGACCGGCTATACCTGAAGCACGACCAACCTGAAGAGGACTCAGTTACGTTGAGGAGAAAGATGAGCTAATGGTCTTGAAAATGTTAAAATCTCCCCCCAAAAAAAAAACTCGGAGACAAGACCGCTGATGGAACAGGAGAAAGAGGGAAAAACCGAGCTCAGGCGAATATGCGAGTACCTGAAGGAAAAGTATCAACTTGAAGAGACCAACCTGACTGAGAAAGACATCCGAAAAAACAAAACAGAAAGAGAGTCGAATGAGGTGAATAAAGGAGAATGTGATGCACAGCATTCTTCTCAATAATGGAGACAGTGCCAACGAAGATGCCCAAGCCGACGGTAACGACGACGACAACAGCAGTATGGTGCCCAGTATTTACGACCGAAGAATGTCATCGATGTGGCTGATGAAGGGCAACATGTCGCCACAGCAGGAGGGGATGCTCACCAAATTACAGGGTCATCACCTGTAAAGAGCTCAAGGTCGGTGGAACACCTGGTGACATTGTGGCGGAACGCTGGACCTGTACTATACAAGAAATGCCATAATGAAGTCCCCGTCAGATGCATTCACTTTCTTTACACCAAGTATGGATTGAACCGAAGTAGGAAGCTGAAGAATTACAAAGTTAAAAAGATAATATAAAATGACGGGGTAAAGATCAAATCAAACGTAAAGATCGAGACGGAACTGCCCCTTGAATACAACAAGCTTGAACTGATGATACATGATTGGAGAACTTAAGAAATCACACTGATTGAGATTGGCATCACCAACAAGAACATCCCGAGTTGCGAAAATCACAGAAATACAATCTACTGAAAAATGAGGTCATGGCAATGTACCCCGGGTGCAAAGTAATTACAGTACCGGTGGTGATGACCTGGGATAGACTAGTGACAAGACATTTCAAGGGTTATATGAAACAGCTGGAAGACACCGACAGACTAATGGCATACATGCAGTCGGTAGTCTTACCCCCGAATTCATAGATGTGACTTGCTCTGAAGTCGAGCTTCAACTTGCTCAAGTCCGTCTTGCGACGAGCAAGCGCGCTTCATAAACGTACCTTAACTTGAACCGATCTTGAACGGAGCTTGAAGCGAACTTGAAGTGCCCAAATTTCAAGACTGGGTTGGACCTATCTTGAATGCGACTTCGTAGTTATTTCAACATGGCGGCTTGCTGATGTGATGTCGCATATGGGATCGCCGCGTTCAATATTTGTGTCCTGTAATTGCGGTGTCGCCCTCGGTGACGGGCATTTTTCGCCGAGAGAAGCGGCCATTCCTCCGTGATTGAATGCATCCCACCGGGATATGCGACGACGAACGGCGACGGCGCGGGAGCTGCTCGGCCGCGACTTGACGGCCTGATCCGAACGGCGACAAGAGGCGGCTGCCGCTGATACCCAAGCTACAGTGTCTCGTCACGCTGCGACTTTTGCTGGCAAGATGTTTCTAGCTGTCAACATTTCACAACAGACGGCGTGCGGCGCAATCGGGAGAGTGACGCGTCTCACCGTAAGGCATCTGTTGCTCGGACTGCTCGGACTCGTCCGCTTCCCCGGCGCTCCCGAAATCATCCGCCTCCTTCGAGTAACCGGGTTCACGCACGCGTGTATCAAGAGCCCGGGCCCCGGTGGCGATTATGCGGACATTTATGAGAACTTGAAAGCAGTTGCCTGCATAAACTATCAGGTGGGTTCCCCCGCTTACCGAAAATAAGCAAGTCTCCAGAGCTTCTGGCGCGAAGGACCTGAGCAAGCATGTGTGGTGCGCACGCACGTTTGCTGATGCAAGCTCTTGACCCCTAATATGTAACGTTCCCTGTATGCATGCTAGCAGTTGTTAAGAACAAAAAGCGCCTAAAAAATACAAGGACACAGAAAAAGAGAAACAGGACAAGGCGCCTTGTCCTGTTTCCCTTCGTCTGTGTCCCTGCATTTATTCAGCGCTTTTTGTTTGCAATGAACCAACTGCCCCAAATATCCACTTTATGCAGCAGTTATTCCCACTTCTTTGTTGTTTGTGCTGGATTACTTGTTTTAAAAAAATGACGTGTAGTATGTACTTGCCCCCTGCGTCAGTAAAATAAATATGAAAAATCAGGAATGCTTTCTAGTTTGGTGTTGCCATGCATTTCAACTTCTCAAGTGATCTCTGAAGGGTCAAATGGCTGCTTAGAACAAAATTGGTCATATAGCTGCTGAAAACTCACTCGAATCCATTTACAGATGCGACATATTTCAACAAATTTTTTTTTAACAAGTTTTGATGTGTTGTTTTACTACTGTATTTGTTCAGTAGCTGTTCACCACAAAACATTATACTTCTCGAATTACATCTCGCTTAAAGTTAGTCGAAAGGCTTTGCTGAAAGAAGGCATATCTTCTTTTCTTAAGATTTCTGCAACATTTGACAAGTGGATGTGTCGAAAGCATCGTTTAGTACTATGCTGAGGAGTGTTTACCAACTTTCTCCGAAACAATATCTAATGAAACAATAGCCACCGGTTTAATTTTTTTTTTTTGCTCTAAAAGATTTATTACTATGCACAGGTTTGCACCAAGCTCGATTCGCGGGCACAACACTTTTGTGCCCACTCCACAATCAAAATATTATTGCCTCGTGAAGAAAAAAATACATCACAATTCTTCCACTGCAATAAAGGCGAGACAAAGTGAGTTGACCTTTTTTATGATTGTTCACTCGCACTAAACTTCACACCCATGCACATATTATCTGCATGCAACCTCCATAATGAAGATGTTGGGATGATAATTTGTCAAATTCTTGAAAACATCATATATTGTCTCTCTGACTCGTAACATTTATTAACTCATTCAGGTACAACACCGCCCAAATAAAGACTCGTAACACTGCTGAAAGAAAAAGACAATCCCTATGCCTCGTTGGGTAGTTGAAATCATCACTATGTGCGCAGCATCACGTAACCTAGGGAAAACGAGCCATCCTTGCTGCTCTGCCAGTCATACCAGCCAGGGGACAATGTTGAGAAGATCAGTGCGACTGCCAGCTGAAAGGGGTAGAAAAACAAGCAGTCTAAAGCCAGAGTGGTACTGTATAGGTATGGTGCCTGGAATGCATCTCCGACTGGTGTGTCTAGAGTGTCCAAAGAAGTGGTCCCTCAATTTCTGCCCGGTGCGTCATACAAGTGTCATACTGTCGCCGGTCGCAATCCTCCCAGCGGCGGTGGTTGATGTGGCAGACGCCTGTTCTGCTGCAGGTCACTCTCCAGTTCGACAGTCCACTGAAGCTCCAGCAGCCGGTGGTTGGGACGCCGTGACAACAGCGACACTCGTGTTCGCCTCGTGGTACTCGCGGCTGCTCTTTAACTTTTCAATGGCCAACCGCCAGGATCGCAACATGCAATAGCGTGACACTTCGACTTCTGTGACGTCATTCGTTGCCTCTTCGTGACCACTTTTGATGTATGGGCAGTAAAGGAGGCTAAACACACCAGTCGAAGACTCGCTCCAGGCACCATACTCGTCGGGTAGTTGAAATGGTCACTCCGTGCACAGCATCACGTAACCTAGGGAGAATGAGCCATCCTTGCTGCTCTGCCAGTCATGCCAGCCAGGGGGCAATGTTGGGAAGATCAGTGCAACTGCCACCTGAAAGGGGTGGGAAAACAGGCAGGCTAAATTCAGAGTGGTACTGTATAGGACCCCCCTTCCTCGTGGCACCACTGAAATGGGGATAATACGTATGTTGCACGGTGTGCACATTTTCAAACTTTTGAGCACATAGTGAGCTACAGTTCATTAATCACAATCATTCATATAATCCCTAACTGAAATGCTTTGTTTAACTGATGTTTATGTATATGATGTTTATCACAAATATGATGTAATTTATGCTTTGCTTGGGCATAATGACCTAAACCTAAAACAGTCGAAATAAGATAAAGATGAAGGAAGGTATGCAAAGCGACCATCCATTTCATATGCGCACCTCCCTCCATCCTTGTCTTGTTTGCATTTTTGTTATCTTCTCATTTATTATGGGATCATGCTTTTTTCATTATTTTACAAGTTATTTTCTCTTTGATTCTTGCATTTCTAAGTGGCATGCCTTGTGAATGCTGTGTCCTGCATGTTTCTTTCCCCAGTAAAAATACCCGTTTTCTTTTCTTGATTGTGTTTAGAACTAATGTGAACCCTGTGCTAAAAATATGGTGGAACGTATTGCTTCCTTTGTTTACGTTTCATTACTCGCTGCACACTTAGAAATGTATGAGCCTCAATATTGCTGTCCCACTTCCGAAATAAAAGAATTTTAATGGCTGCAACCTGTGCATTAGCCTCCTTGCTTGTCTTGTAATCATGAAACACTACCGACATAAAACCTGCAAAAAGGGAATGGCTCAAGCTGTTGACAAACAAACATACAGACCAGAGCTGCTTATTTAGATACATATCCCAACATGCGGCTCTGACGGGCAAACACAAAATAATTTTCTGGAGGTGGCCCTGCACATCTAGAGGCCCTGAAAGACTCAAGTTTTGTTTACAGATAGCTGAGACGCTAAATTATAGAAAAAAAAATCATTCTGACCAACCTCGTATAGCCTACACCAAATGCTGCACATACATTTGGCAGTTGAGGAAAATAGAAGGAGTGCAAGCTTGTGCTTATATCTAGGAAACAACTGTGCTGGTGAACAATTTATCTCCTGGTGGTCCACAATGAGTGCATTTCAGTCATCAGTTTAAAATTGTGCACAAATAGAAAGGAACAGAGGAGAGATAAGAGACAAGCACAAACTCGCAATTCAATGTATTGAAGGAAGAAAAAAGAACAGCCTGTAGCAACAGCTCGAGCCGAGGCCACACCGGCCTCGGCTCGAGCTGTTACTACAGGCTGTTCTTTTTTCTTCCTTCAATACATTGAATTGTGAGTTTATGCTTGTCTCTTCTCTCTCCTCTGTTCCTTTCTATTTGTTCACAATTTTAACCATGTTCTATCATTACCAACTCGCCCAACTAACCACCTTAATTCAGTCATCAGGTTTTCTAGTTTATGCAAATTTTCATAGTCAC